ACTGTGGGTCTGTGGGTCTGGACTCTGAGGGTGACTGTGGGTCTGTGGGTCTGGACTCTGAGGGTTTCTGTGGGTCTACTCTGTGTCCTCTACTTTTTAATTCAGTTTTATTTATAAGGAGGCTCTGGAGGTCCCCACAGATGCACGTAAACCTGTATCAGTTCATCGACCTCAGACACACACCGTGTGGTTGAACTGAAGGCTTTGTTTCTATTGGCCACGTGAAGGTACGTTACAGCATGCAGGGGTCAAAGTTCAAGTCTGCGGCATGCGCGAGTACTCCGCTGCCGTGCTTGGTGCTTTGCTCGGCGTAGCGGTAAACCGTTATTGCGCTGCGTCCGGCCACACTTCGATGAACGCATCGAGAACAACCTTCAGTATCTTGGCACGCTGACTGGAGCAGCCAGGGATCAAACCATCATCTATGATTAGCAGATGACGTGCTCCACCTCCTGAGCTATGCCACCACCATCATGGATGATGATGAAGGAGGTGAGATCCTGTTGCTGGACTGAGGTGGAGCATGAAGGCGATCCATGAACTTGTGATGATGGTTCATGGTGTCTGAAGAACATCAGCCTGCAGCTGCATGCTGACGCGTTTGTAATGCGTGACAGTTTCAGCTGCTTTTAGAGAAGATTCAGTCGTGCTTTCTACAGACGTCCAGCTGCTACAGATCACACATCCTCCATCATCATCGTCAGTCTGAGCTCACCTGAGCTCCACATCCTCAGCAGCCAATTTACCCTCCAACACCTGAGCAGCGATGCTAAAACGTCCCGACCTTCATCCCTCAAAGTGAGAGTTTAATGTCCCACAGAGGCCAGGACACCAACCAGCCCACCTGAGTGTCAGACCACAGAGCTCTGAGGGTACAAGATGATTTCTCTAAACATACATGAATATGGAAAATCACCAGCTCACACAGTAACACTGTGGGGGTGTCACAGCTGGTCACATGATCTGTTTCCAACTCACAGCCACGGAGACGCCGTTCATCGTCCCACATCAAACACACCTGTACAGGAAACAGGAAGCATCATACAGACACACCTGTATGAATATTACACATGACTGATAAATATGTTCTTTATTTATTCTTTTTTTTATTTTGCCCGTGTATACCAACTGATCAATGGTGGCTGAACGAACGCCGATTAGAGCCACCGATTAATGAAACATTCATCTATAAGATGTGGTCCAGCGCTAACTTCATGGACTGTGGAGACTTTTTGTTTACATGTAATTTTGACAGAAATGAACAGTTGGCGTATTAAACAGCTGCATCAGATTCTGCTCATCATCAGCGCCTCCACAAGACGACAAAATACCGACGTGGGCAGGATCGAGAAACCCTCATTCACCTGGAAGCTGGCCCAAGAGGTCAAAGTTCACATTTCTTCACACCGCAATCGTTGCGACACCTCAGGTTCATCTGATTGACACGTGGTCGAGCAGGGGGTGGAGTCTGCAGCAGTGGCTCTCACCTCTTGGCTCAGAGAGCTGCAGGTGAGGTCGGCCGGGCGGCGGCACTGAACACTGACCGCCACAACATCTCCAAGACTCTGGACTGAAGGTCATCGAGGTCAAACTTTCAGAAAAAAGACTGATGAGATAAGTCTACATCAATCTGCATGATGAACAAAGTCACGAGATGGAAACAACGGTGTGATGAAAGCATGCTCACGTGGACGCTGCGCTCTCGTCACTGATGCTACGAACATGGTTACTGTTTGAATAAACGAGCTGTTTGTCAGGCTCAGGGAGGAAGACGGGATAAAGACATGCTGTGGAAGAGAGACAGATTAATAACAAGTATGATTCAGTGCAGAGAGGTCTGTTAGCACATAGTGAGTGAAGAAGAAACACCCAGTGCATCATGGGAATCCCCGGCAGCCTACGTCTATTGCAGCATCACTAAGGGAGGATTCAGGGTCACCTGGTCCAGCCCTAACTATATGCTTTAGCAAAAAGGAAAGTTTGAAGCCTAATCTTGGGTTATTATAACGGTCTTTTTACTTGTCTCAACAAATCAGCTGTGGAACGCCTTCAGACTGCACAGACTTTTAACTGGCACAAACAAGAGGTCACACATTACTCCAGTTTTGACTTCTCTTCATTGGTTGCCAGGAAATTTTAGAGTTCATTTTAAAACTTTTGTCGTAACTTTTTGAGCTCTGCATGCTGAAGCTGCCCAGCGTATCTCTGAGCTGCTGAAGCCTCATGCTTCATCCCGAGCACTCGGGTCTTCAGGTCAGAGGTCACTGTTGGTCCCACGCACTGGGTTCAAACCCTGTGTGGGGATCGGGCTCCTCGGGCACCGAGGCTGTCGTCTTTACGCTGTGCACACTCCACTGACTCCTTTAAAAAGCAGTTGAAGACATTTTTATACAAACAAGCTTTTAATCTTTTCACTGTTTTCTATTATTTTATTTATATTTCTGGATTTATTGTGAAGCACTTTGTGATTTTATTCTGTGAATTGTGCTATATAAATAAATTTTGCTCACCGTATTTTCCGCACTATAAGGCGCATCAGATTATAAGGCACATTAAGACAAACAGTCAGATAACTCGACCTTTATTAAGCTCATTCACAGTAACTCTTAACACTGTTAAGCTGTAACACATTAAATATTGAAGAATACACTCACTTTTTCCTGTACATTAACTTCCACAATTCCATCAAGTTCTTCACCGTGTCTGAGTTACGGTAAACAGCTGGGCAATTTCGGCATCAAGCATGCCCGGATCCCTCTCATCATTATCTGAATCAGTCTCGTTGCTGTTACTTAGCTGTTCAGTGATTATTCCAGCCTGAAAGCTCAGACGACACTTGAAACTGATACCTTAGCCCAAGCATCCACGATCCATTGGCAGGTAGCGGCGTAACTTGCTCGGCATTGCCTCCCTGTCTTGGTGAATGTGTGTTCGCCTTCTGTCATCCAATGCTCCCACGCAGCTCGTAATTTAACTTTGAACAACCAATGGTTGGAGTTCTTGGGTTAATCCACCCGGAATGACGGCAAGCTCCAAATTAGTTTGCTTCACTTGGGTTTTGACAGCCTCGGTGAGATGGGCGCGCATGGAGTCGTAGATCAAAAGAGACGGAGATTTGTGGAAAAAGCCACCCGGTCTCTTGACATAAACTCAGCCACTCGCTCATCTTCTCCTCGTCCATCCAGCCCTTTGAGTTAGCCTTCACGATGATGCCGGCCGGAAACTTTTCTTTTGGCAAAGTCTTCCTCTTGAAAATGACCATGGGTGGTAGTTTCTGGCCATTAGCTTGGCAGCCCAGAACTACAGTGGAGGATGACTTCTCGTTCCCTGTGGTGCGTGTAGATACCGTACTGGTGCCTGTTTTCTCAACAGTACGGTTCACGGGGATGTCAAAGGTGAGGAGGACCTCGTCCATGCTAGTGATGTGTTCTGGCCGGATCTTCTTTCCAGTGATCTCATTCTGGCAGTACGTGCTGAAAATGGCCAACTTTTCTTTGGCAGTTGCTGTGAGACAGTAGTTCTTGTGCGGATTGAGAGATTATGCCTTTTCATAAAACGGAAGCACCAAGAAGGTCCCCCTCGAAAGTCGTTGATCTCCATGTCACGTGCTGCTGTAACCTTGAGTCGAACAGAGACTGTAGAGACACTTCTGCCTGCTGTTCTCTGTTCAATAACCCACTGTTCAATTTTGTCCTCTGCCATCGCGCCGTGTTCCCTCGGAAACTCCTTTTGGTCTTCTTTACTTGTTTTAGGTCATCTTCGTGCTTCCTCCACTTGCGCACCACCGACTTATTAATGCCGAATTGCCTCGCAGCTGCTCTATTTCCATTTTCTACTGCATAACTGATTGTTTAAAATCCGCTTCGTAAGCATAACACGGTAATGTTGTGTTGAAGCACAGTACGTATTACTCCATGAGGCTCCTTGCAACGGTAACCGTAATGCTCCGAGAAAGTGGCACTAAAAGGTTTTTTTGACAGATTTTTGAGCATCGTGTACCACGTAAAATCGGTTCAAGGTCAGTAAGCACAAAGCAAATTTCATACATAAGGCACACCAGATTATAAGGCGCACTGTCGATTTAAGGATTTTACGTGCGCCTTATAGTACGGTAAATACGGTACTTACTAATCTTAAAAGTAGTGTCTGTCTCCTGAATCCAAACTGGAAGCTGGTTCCACAGAAGAGAGGCCTGAAAACTGAAGGCTCTGCCTGTCACGGCCCCTCCCCTCTGTGAACAGACTGCTGTGGGAGGGGCTTCAGTCGGCCTTTTATTACATCACTTCCAGGCAGAGCGACATTTGACGGGGGAGGTTTAGTGTTTTTGGGTGAACTTTAAAGAAGTCAGATTTAAGAGGAGTCAGAGACATTGGTTCATTGATTATTGACAATCGTATTATTAGTTTCATGTAAACACTGAGGACGAGCAGACTCCCCGGCTCCTGCTTCGTTTCCTGCTCTCAGCTGAGTGAGGTGGACCCTGTAGAGCAGCAGGGTCATGTGACACACCTCAGTCTGAGCACGTCCCAGAATCCCACCCACCCGCTCACCTGTGCCGATGTCACAGCGGCTCTCGGTCTGTTTTCCCAGCATGCATCATTCACAGACACAGAACTTCAGCTGTAATGACTTCAGGTAAAACCACCTGCTGCCCCCTGCTGGCCGGAGCCTCCATTACAGTCTGCAGAGTCAGCAAAGAAAAACTGAAATAAACGTTTGGAGTCTCAAAGGCATTCAAACATGAATAAAGCCCCGCCCCCTTACGGTCACCAGGACAGTCACCGTCACCTGACCTGAAACA